ACTCTGTTTCTCAAGTTGGATAATGAGAGCTGAACCCAGGGTGCTCACCCCGCGAGAAGCCCTTCTCCACCAGGCCCTGTAACCTTCCGCTCCCGCTGAGGACCAAGGCCTTACAAGGGCCGGGGCCCAGACCTGGCTTCCTGGCCTCTTGGAGGGAGCTGCTCCCCTCACTCCGCTGACACACAGCTCCTCCGGCCTCGGACCCCTCCGCCCAGGGCCTTCCCCCAGGCTCCCCCCATATTCACACCATTGCATTTAGCCTGCTCATCTGTGGCCCCAGTAGAATATGAGCCCCGCCAGGGCTGGCTTTGCTGTTTTGTTCATCACTGTGCTCACAGGCCCTCCCACCGTGCCAGGCGCAGTCAGTGCTTGATGAACGTCTGAAGGCTCACCCCGTGGTGACCCCAACTTCCAGGTCACTGTCCCGAGCGCCTCCTCTGCGCAGGCGCCCTTCCCCCAGGGCCTCGGGCCGGTCAGGCCGCCCCCCCCCACCCCCCCCAGCGCCGGCTCTGGCCCGGGAGGATGCATACCCTGGTCTACGGACCTCCGCAGGGCGATGAACTTGGCCCCCTCGTCCGACGTGGACATCTTTCTGGCCTCGGCAAAGGCAAGGAGAGTGCCGCGAGGGGTGGCGGCGATGAGCGGGATGCGGAAGGTGTCCACCGCCGCGATGCGCCGCCCGCTCACCCACAGCAGCTGCTCCATGGTCACCAGCGGCTGGACCTGCGGGCGGAGGAGGGGCAACGCGGGCACACGTGACGGGTCAGGACGGCGGGGCAGCGGCTCAGTCAGGTCCCCCGGGAGAGGCAGCTGTGGGGTCGCGCGGGGGGCGGGTCCCAGAACCAGGGCGGGAGCCCCGGGGAGAGGTCGGAGGGCAGGGGGCTCGGAGCGGGGGACGGGCTGCGAGGGGAGAGGCGCCCTCGGAGAAGAGGGGCCTCCGAAGGGGAAGGAGCGCGAATGCGGAGGGCGAGGCCCTGAAGGCGGAGGGGCTGTGAGCGGACGGAGGGGCGGGGGGCGGGCAGTCCCGCGAGCACCGCCGGGCGTGGGCCGCTCGCGGGGTCGGGGTCGGGGTGGGCGGTGCAGGGCTGCTCACCAGCCTGAAGTCGTTCTCGTCCCCCGCGGTCACTGCTGCGGACAACAGCAGCGGGAAGATCGCGGCAAATACCTGAACCCCACAGACTCTCCCGAACGCCGGCCTCCGCGGTCCCTCGGGGCCGCCCAGGAGCACCGCGCCGGGCCGCTCGACTGTCATTTCTCCCCGCGATGGCGCGCCCCCGGCCCCTGGCCCCCAGGACTAAACCCGGGCTGGAGTCAGTCAGCTGACCCTGGCCCTTTAAGCACTCAGGTGTCACCTCCCGTCCCGCCCCCACCCGCCGCTCCGCCGCGCTTCTGAGACTCTAATTGGCCCCAAACACTCGGACTCTTCACGTGACCCGTCAGCGCCTCTGAGCTAGCCCTCCTATTGGCTCCCTTTGAAGCGCCGCAGCTCGTGACCCGGGCGGGAATGAGGAAGGGCCGGGATGACTCCTCAGAGCCTTTTGATTGGTCGCAGCCGCTGGGGCGCGACATGGGGGCGGGCCTACTTTAAAGTGCGGGGCGGGAGGACAGGGTCTCATTGTCCAGAACGGAATGAGAGCAGTACCAGGCTTCTTGCGAAAACAAATATGTGTCAATCTTTAATAGCATCTTTTTACTACAAAATCAGGGCCTGAGCGGAGGGGAGGCCGGGAGGCTGCGCGGGGCGGCGCCGGCTCAGGGCTTCTTCCCCTTGCCCCCCGGGGGCGCGGCGTTCTTCTTGCCGAGAATCTGCAGGAGCGCCTTGGACATGAAGTAGGGCCGGGCCGCGGAGCCGTCGTTGCGCTCCAGGTCTTCCACTGCGCCGCGAGCAGGCGTTAGCGGGCGGGGCGCAGGTTTGGGACTCGCAGGGGGGGCCATGCAACCCCGCCCCCATTTGTCAGCTGGGACCATGATAGCACATCCCTCCCCGTGGTCAGGTTCGCGGGGCCGCACGCCCCCTGCGCGGAGCGGCGCCGGCACGACCGGAGCCTGAGAGGCGCCCACCGCCCGGTGCGGGGACCCCGCTCCCCACACCTCCCCGGGGTTTCCCGGGACGACAGGTCTCTCCCCGGGAGCTCCCCCTCCCACCAGCCTGCACCGCGGTGCGCACTCACGGAAGCAGAGGAAGAGCGTGTCCACGCACATGCCGAAGACGCTGAAGAAGCCGCTGGCGACGAAGTGGGCCCCCAGGACGGCGATCTGCGGGGCGCGGCCTGTTAGCGTTTCTCTGGGGCGCTAGGGGGTGCGGCCGGGAGGGGGCCACTCACCATGATGGGCAGCCAGTAGTAGTTGAGGGGGCGGCTCTCCAAGTCTTGGCCCAGCCCCAGGCGACCCGTGAAGAGGAAGAAGGACAGGACCCCTGTGGGAGGGCGGCGTCACCGGGGCCAGCTCGCCGCTCCCCGCCCCGCCCGCCCGCCGGGTGCTGGCGGCTCGGCCGGTCCTTACCGACACCTCCCACCACCAGCAGCTTCCCGAAGAGCAGCAGCAGGTCCGTGACCTTGTCCAGGACCACCACCCTGCGCGGGGAGAGGCCATGGACGGGGCTGCCTCCCTTGCGGGCAGGCATTGGCCAGGGGTCACCCCGCGGGGCGCAGGCCTCTGCGCACCGCGCCCCCCGCAGCCCAGGTGCGCGGAGACCTCGCGGGGCAGCCTGACCTGACCACGTTCCGCATGAGCAGCATGAAGGCGTCTCTGGCGGAGACGCAGAAATTCTTCCCGTAGATGGCGATCTGGGTGGGAGGGGAAGGTCGGGGTCACCCGGGGGCTCCCCTGGGCCGGGCGGGGCGGCCGCGGGGCCAGGAGCCGGGCCTGCGTGCACTGGGCTCACCATGATGTACGCGTTGCGGTTCAGGAACTTGATGAACTTCTCCAGGCACCAGAGGCAGCACTTGAAGCAGCACATGATGCAGCGGGCCACGGGGTTCTGGGCGACTGGGGGCCAGCGACTCGGGTGTCAGGACCCGGACACAGGGCCTGAGAGCCTCTCCCCAGGGACCCAGCTGCTCAGCCGGGCCTCCCCAGCCCCTGACCTCTGCTCACCTCTCAGCTTGTGGTCAATGTACTCCAAGATGACCCGCGCTATCTGCACCAGGGTCAGGATGAGGGCCCCAAAGGCCAGCGACCCGATGTGGTAACTGCCCAGGGAGGAGGCAGTCAGAGGCGGCCGCGACCCCTGGACTCCCGGGCTCCCAACCCGCCCCGCCCAGGCTGCCCGGCCCCAGGCTCACCCTGGCCCCAGGCTCCCCCAGCCCCAGGCTTACCGCAGCGTCCGGAGGAAGGCTGCGCCCAGGGGAAAGGTGGGGATATCCCGGGGCTTGTGGAAGGCCCAGTAGAAGGAGGCAAAGGCCCCAGCCAGGACACACTGGCCCAGAGCCAGGACCCAGTTGAGGGTCCAGAATAGCCCCAGGACCCCGTAGATTTGCAAGTTGAAGAGAGATCGCTGCACCAGGCCCGTGGACAAGTAGCCCTGGAAGACGCACATCAGTCCGGGGCACGAGGAGTTCGTGGGCTGAGCCTGGGGAGCACAGACAGGTCATCCCCAGCCAGCGCCCGCCACTCCCAGAGTGGAAAGAAGCAAAGCCTCCCAGCTGGGGAAGGGCTCCCTCCGGGAGATTCACCGCCAGGTCCCAAGTGGGTTGATCTCGCCTATTGCGTGAGCATAAATCTCTTCTTTCCGGCTCTGGGTGAGCGCAGGAGCTCTCAGGAACTCCCAGACCTCGTGGTGTGGGCCAGGCCTTAATGGTGTGTGGGGAGCCCTGGGGCCAAGGCCTGGCCAGGCCCTCGACCAGCTGTCCCCTCCCAGAGCAGCCTCTGCAACTTCAACCAAAATGCTTTCCAGCAAAATTGAGGAGACTGTGTGTCTGATGACATTAAGGAATTATTGTTAATCTTGTTGGGTTTGATAATGGTTATAGTGGCTATGCTTTTTAAAAGTCTTATCTGTTGCCCTGGCCGGTTTGGCTCAATGGACAGAGCATAGGCCCTCGGACTGAAGGGTCCCAGGTTTGATTCTGTTAAGGACACATGCCCGTGTTGCAGGCTCGATCCTCAGTAGGTGGCATGAGGGAGGCAGCCGATGAATGATTCTCTCATCATCATTGATGTTTCTATCTCTCTCTCCCTGTCCCTTCCTCCCTGAAATCAATAAAAAATATATTTTTAAAAAGTCCTTATCTATTGAGATCCATTCTGATGTGTTTACAAGTGAAATGGTATGATGTCCAAATTTCCCTTAAACTCTAGAAAAATATTTTCACTTAGGGGTGGGGGTTGGGTGAGATGGATGAAAAGAGAAAGTCAAAGGTGTGGGATCTGGGTATGGGAATTCTCTACTTAGCATGTTTGAGAAATTTCCATAACAAGTGAAAAGCATAGAAATAAAAAACAACCCTTCCCAGCCAATGTGACAGCCTTGATAATTGCTGGGCCCGAGTGCGTCAGACATTTTATAATAAAATGAACCACTTTCCATGTGTGTGTCTGCGGGCGGTGTCCGTCTCCACGGCCAGGTCCTGAGCCGGCTGAAGCAAGCTCGGTCATCTGGGGCTTTGCACAGCTTGGCACATAGGATCCTTCGCAAACGGACGCAAACCTCCCTCCCCTTTAGAGTGGGGGCCAGTGCCTGTGGGCAGAGCCCGTCCCGCTCAGAGCAGGTGGCCACAGGAAAGCTTTGAGGACAGTCAATTCCCAGAGGTCCAGGCCACCCCTTGGGAACCTCAGGGGCGGGGTGTGTGTGTGTGTGGGGAGGGGGGGGGGGCTGGCAGCTTCTCTCCCAGACCCCGCAGGGCAGGGCAGTGTGTTCCCAGGGAGGAAGATAAAAAAACTAAACAAAACCCATCGCTATCAGAGCTAATCAGGTGCTGGGCTTTGTACTAAGCACTTATGTGCCCAAAGTCATGGCCTGGTCTGGCTCGCCCTGAGAGCCGGGTACTATGAGGGTATTACGATTAGCTCCACTTTACAGAGCGGACTGGCTGGGGTCGTTCGTGGTCCAGCAGAGGAATCTCCTGGGGAGGGCAGGGCCCTGGCATCCAGCTTCCTGCGGCCTGGCGCTGCCTCAGTGGCCCTCCCTGGCTCGGGCAGGACTCCTGGCTCGGGAGTCAGCGGACTGGCTCCCTTTCAGGCTCTGCCGGGGCCTGTTGTGTGACCTTGAGGGAGCCTCTGTCCTCTCTAGTCCTCGGTTTCCCCTGCACAAGGAGGCATTCGGCCCTAAGGTGCCCTCAGCCCTTTTGGTGCCCCTCCACGTTCACCCCCAATCCCCTCACCATGGGGTCGCACGATGCGTTCACTGGCACGGCCTCACAGCTGGGGAAGCTGGCGTTGGGTGCCCAGAAGACGTACTGAGGTTGTCCTGAGGTGGCCAGGTACCCAGAGGGAAGTCAAGGAAAGCATGGCCACACGGGGTCTCTGTGGCCCCTCCACAGGGCCTTCCCAGGTGCTGGTGCCGGATGCTCCCTGGCCCGAGGCCGGACTTCTGCCTGGGCTCGCTCTCCCCGCTGTCCCCGGGCCAGTGTGCATGCCCAGAGGGACGGGCGCCTCCCCAGCACGAAGGTACTGAGTGGGCAAGTCCTGCCCTTTCTGCCCTCCGCCCCACGGACACCAGGAGGGCTGGCTGTGTGGGCAAAGGATACAGGGCAGTCATGGCCCAGTAGGCAATGCAGATGAGCAGGAGGACAAAGGTGACCAGCGGGTAGAACATAGTGGACATCATCTGTCCCACGGCCCTGCAGGGAGTGAGCACTGTCCACCAGCAGGCCCCCGGCCCCACCTCTGCCCCAGGGCCTGCTCCTCCCCGGGGGCTGGGCACACCTAGGAGCTCCCTGAGGGACCGGAAGTCAGTGAATCTGGCTCAGGGGCCCTTAGAGGAAGTGAGTCTCAGAGCAGCCCCCTGGACAGCGTCAGGGAAAGTAAGGCCAGGGAGTCCTCAAAGTGGTGTGTTGACCAACCTGGCAGGTAGGTCTTGGTGGGGAGCAAGCTGCTGCTTCCCCACCCTGCCTGGGTTCCCACCGTCCCACCCACCCACCATCACCATGGCAACAGTGACTGCCAGGACAGCCCTTCTGGAGGGCTGCTTCATGCTGAGACACACTCACTTCATCCTCAGGGCACCCTACAAGGTAGGTGTGCTCTCACCCCCACTTCACAGATGGGTAAACAGAGGCTCAGAAAGGCTGTAACAGCAGTATTAACCACTGCACTATTCTGCCCTTCTCCTGCAGGGCTCCCGCACCTGCCCAGCCGCCCACCGGCCCACCCTGCCCTCTGCCCGCCTCTCTGGGGTAGGCCCTGACTTGCTGGCCTCCTTCAGGAGGGCGATGGCGATGCGGATCCGCTGCCGCAGGAAGATGAGCATGAGCAGCAGGAGGCCTTCAAGCACAGCCAGCACGATCACTGAGGGTGGACAGGGCAGAGGCGGTCAGGGCCAGGGCAGCGCTTTGGCGGTTGGCATTTGGAGGGGCGGGGTACTCACGGGCCGCCAGCCAGGTCTCCTGAACACTGCGGTAGGCGCTGAGGTTGGTGGTGAAGCCCAGCTGGGTGATGGAGGCACCCCGGTCCCGTAGCACCCGGTACTCCTTCCAGCAGTGGTAGATGCCATATGCCAGCACCCCCAGCACCCCTAGGATCAGGACCAGCACCAGGGGCCCGGCCACCAGGCGAAGCAGCAGGAGAAACAGCAGGCTCAGGACCAGAGCCACGCCCAGGGCACTGTAGGCAGGAGGAGGTAGGTGAGGGTCACCCCTGGCCCCCAAATGCCTTTCCTCAAACCCCTACAGTCTTCAGATTAGACCTCCTTTCTATTATAAATCCTGTTGGGCTTGGGGTCCATTCTGAGCTCTGGCTCCTCCTCCCTAGTCTAAAGACTCAGTGTCAGACACTGGGCTGGAGGATGCGGATCAGGGAGGGAGAATGGAAGGAGAAAGTGGGGAATCTGGTGACTCACACAAGAATCCAGTACCAGGACTGGGCTAAGTCTTCAAAGATCTTAACGCTGATGTCGCGGGCATTGAAGCTGTCCAGAAGACCACTAGGGAGAGACAGAGTCGGTCGGGCTGCGGTTGGAAGGGCAGAGGGGCAGAGCTGTAGAGACGGCGGTACCCACCTGATCCCCTGGTTGATGGAGGTGTTGCCAGAGATCCCTGGGAACTCGACCTGTGTACTATTGGGGTATGGAACACAGCGCCCCAGAGCTGGAGGGAGAGAACAGCTACTGGGGGGCTGGCGCAGAGCTTTGCCTTGAAAGTCTCTGGCTGCACCTCAGCCACAGCCCTGGGGGGGGGGGTGCGGGTGGGCAGGAGAGATGGTCGGCTCCCTCTGAGAGTGGTTCTTGATTCCACAGCAAAGAGCAAAAAGCTCTGTCTCGGAGCCCAGGCCACGCTGCCTTCACTCTACGTCCCGTCCTCCCCTAATGGCGCCGCCGCCTCACACCCTCCTTTGCTCTGGGCTGGCTCTTAGGAAACCTCCACTCCCCACCTTGCGTCCATCAGCCAGGGAGCCAGGCACAGCGTGGGCAGCGTCATCCCAGGGCCCGAGCCACTCTGCTGCTCAGGCTCCTCCGAGGCTCGAGGCTCGGCCCTGACCCTGCTCACCTCACAGCCAGGCTTCAGGCCTCCCGAGCCGTCGCTCTTGCTGCGCCCCTCTCCCTGTCGAGCTCCATCCTCGCCTCACCTTGCCTCCTGCAGGAGGCTTGTGCCTTCTCCTGTGCCACCGATTACATGCCCCCATTTGTCGTCACCCTTGCCACTTTGCCAGGTAAACCTGCTTTGGCACTGACATTCTCAAGAGCAAATAAGGCTCAAGAGGTTGAGCAATTAGCCCAAGACCACACAGCTGGAAAGTGCTGGAACTTAAGTCCAGCTCTGACTTTGGAGCATTCATTTGAGGAACTTCCTATTGTATTTATGGTGAGAACTGGGTATCTTTTCTCATGCTATAATTTAAATATTTTTTCTTTAAAAAATAACATTGACTGCCCCGGCTGGTGTGGCTTGATTGGTTGAGCATCGTCCAGTATACTGAAAGGTCACTGGTTCGATTCCTGGTCAGCACACATACCTGGGTTTTGGGCTCGATCCCCCGTAGGGGGCATGCAGGAGGCAGCTGATGGATGTCTCTCACATTAATGTTTCTCTCTTTCTCCCTCCCCTTCCTCTCTCTCTCAAAGTCAATTAAAAAGTCATAAAAATAATTTGGTTGTTTAAAGAAAGATTTACTATTGGAAAGAAGAGCATACAGAATGAAAATTAGTCACCTGCCACCCCACCGCCAGCCATAGTCACCTGTAGCATTTGGGTGAACTTCTGGTCTGTCTGCACGCACCTAAATGTTTCCACGCACCCTCTGAACCTCCCACCAGCACGCAGCTCCACGGGCAGCTGCACTTCCTGCGGCCAGCCACGCCCCGCGCCCAGGTGCCGGGAACTGTGCTGTCCTGGTGCGACTTCACGGTCTCTGGCCTGGCTTCCTCATTTGAGCAATAAAAGTATAGGCTACCTGACCGAGGGGGCGTGTGCTCTCACCTGGAGTGGAGGGGAGGAGGAAGCTGGGGCAGAGGTCTCGTTCCAGGCTTTGGAGTACTGGCTGGGGGTGGGGGGAGGGACAGACACCAGTCACAGCAGGATGGAGTGCCCCCCTCCCCCGCGCTACCACCCCAGTCATCTTCCCAAACCCCCTGCACCCCACCCATGCGGCCCCTCCTTGATGACAGCGATGACATTGGGGCAGCGCTCACCATGTCCCAGGGCACCCCTGGCCGACAGACAGTCCGGTTTGCAGCGTAGAAGACCTCCCCGACCGTCAGTGAGAGCTCACCCTGACTCACGACCCAGGGGGCCGCTGGACAGGAGGACACACACACCTGGGGCAGAGGGCGTGCTGTGGGGCTCTTTCCAGACCTGGGGTGGTCTGGGCAGAGGCAGGCCCCAGGCTGACCTGGGGTGTGGGACACTGCAGGCCGTGCTCAGCGACCGCGATGATGTTGGTGGCCAGGACGCAGCTGAAGATGTTGAAGTACAGGAGATAGGGTTTGTCTCTGCAGGAGGGAGGACGTGCATGTGTCAGGGCCTGGCCAGGTGTAGGGGCAGGAGGGACGGCCGGGCCTCGCCTCCAGGCTGCACACCTAGCTCCTGGCCTCAGTCCAGCTGGAGGTATGAGAGACCGGAAGATCTCCAGAGTCATTCAGCGCCGCATATGGTTCAGAGAGCTGAGCAAATCCATGCTCGCAAACGGTTAAAAGCATGAACTCTGGAGCCCAATCACCACCCAGCTTTATGACCTTGAGCAAGTCCCTCTACTGCTCACAGTCTCAGCCCCATCGTGGAAACTAACAGTGCCCGCCAGCCTGGAACAGGCGAACGCCATGTAAATGCCGTAAATGCCGGAGGTTTGGTTGTCGATGGGCCACTTCCTGCCTATGAGGACCGACAGCACCGCTGCGGGGGTCACCCCTGCGTTTCAGATGAGGCCGAGCACCTTGAAGGCCACACGGCCAGGACCCAGGTGGGGAGCCCAAGGCCATTTCCAAACTCTAAAGCCTGTGCCCCTGACCCTGGCTCTACATCGCCTTGCAATTGGGGGGCCTCCTAAGCCAGCTGCCTGCAGGGGAGCCTGCTCAATGTGGCTGAGGGGGGTCCCCTCCTTCTGGCCCCGCTGGTGTACTCACTTGTTGGCCCCCATGCCGCAGTAGGCCCCGGTGGAGTTCCTGGGGTAGAGGACTTGCCGGGGGTCTCCATACACCCACGCTGGACACAGACACAGAGTCACCGGAGGGGGCGGCAGGGACATTGTGGGGAGCAGCATGGGAACCGTGTCTCCCTGGCCACTGCCCCCAGCCTCCACCCGAGCTGCGCAGCGGGAAACTCACCCACGATGCCCAGCGCGGTGTAGCCCAGGAGGAAGAGAAGGAAGAGGACACAGCAGATGACATCGGTGCAGCCCCTGCGGGAAGGCCTGCTGAGCGGGCGCTGGGCCTGGGCGGCCCTCTGGTGGGCGAGCTTCCTCTGCAGCCACCAGGACACACAGCTGCCCTGCTCAGCTGGTTTCCTGAACGGCACCGAGCCGCGGCCCCTCCACGGCAGCGCCCCACTCTCCGGGGACAAGCTTCTCACCAGTTTTTCAGCAAGTTCCCGGCAGAGGCAAGGCCCCTGCCCCAGCGAGTTCCCAGCGCTCACCTGCTCTTGATGGGGCCTCGGAAGGAAGGGTCGTGTTTGACTGGCTTCCCTGCGGGCAGTGGGGAGCAGTGTGGAGAGCGAGGCACTCAGAGGACGCGCTCCCCACTTCCTGTCCCCACCAAGGGAAATGGACGGGGCAGGGCTGGCGGGAGGGGAATGGGAGGGCAGGAGAGGTAGGCTCCAGGCCCGCCAGCAGGTCTGCTGCTCGCCGTGAACCCCCAGGTGGCCTTGGGGGGAGGGGGGCCCTTACGGGTCATTTCCAGGACAGTAACTTCCACTCTTGCCTCCACCCTGGCCCTCTCTCCTTCGCCCCCCGGGGAGGTGGACTCTGTCCACTCTTCCAGTGGCCCTCATGCTGCCATCCCGTCCCCTCCCCTCCCAGGCGGCACAGGTGGAGCCCACAGGGAGGTCACACCCCTCTCCCAGCTGCCGCAGACCCCCACGCTGGCCCCCAGAGCCACAGGCCTCAACTCCGCAGGGCCTGGGGAGGGCGGGCGGGCGGGAGCTCCCTGCACACCCCTCCCCAAGGGCCTGTCTCCCGGCCACTGCCAGTCGCTGGGCAAGCAATCCAAGCAGGGTGACACCTGAGCTCGGCGGTTGAGATTGTGGCTGCGTCCTGTTCCTGGTCCTCCCTGAGTACACAGGGAGGAAGCGGGCCAGGACCAGGGTCCCTTGTGGGCGCCGAGGAGGGAGGGCAGAGGGCTGGGCAGTGTGGGAAGAGGTGGGGTCCGTGCTCTGCAGGTGCTGGACTCTGTCCCTGCACGGCTCTTGGGCATGAGATCAATGATTGACGCAAAGCTGCTCCAGGAAGTCCTCCTGCTCTTCCCGGCCCCCTGAGACCCAGGTCTCCCCTCTGGGAGTCCCCTTCCCTCCAGAACAGGGGCTCAGACCCCCAGCCCCAAGGGACTGTCAGGCAGGCTCCCAGCCCCCACTGCTCACAGGGATCCCCGAGGCGGGCGGCCCGTCCCTCTCCCTCACACCTCCCCACCCCTAACCCTCAGGTCCTGGGACGGCTCCCAGCCCCCACTGCTCACAGATTCTGGACAGACACAAGCTTCTTGCTCCATCTCCCCTCAGGCTTTACCCTTCACGGGGACCCCAGGAGGCCCCGCCTCTATTCTTCAAGGTACCAGTACAGGCTCAGCCCCCCATGAAGACCCTGAGCCCCAACTCCTCACTGGGGCCCCAGCACTGCTCAGCGACCCCGTGGAAAGACCCCCAGCGCCCTCCCCTCAGCCCAGGTCCAGGCTGACCCTCCCGGGGACCCAGCCTTCTGCTGGCTGGGCCTCACCTGGCAGCGGCAGGCTCCGCAGCCCGCACCCCAGCCCCTGCTCAGGACCACACCCTACTCCTTCCATTCAGGCTCCCTTCCTTCCCAGGGCCCTGGCCCCAGGGACCAGCGTCTGGGGCTGAACCCCTGGTCCCAGGGGCTAAATAAAGCCCCAGACCCCAGCTTCACTCCCCAAGTTTCCTTAGCAACGGCCCCCGGCCCCTGCACCCCATCCTCCTCCCAGGACCGGGCTCTGCCTTCTTCCACGAGCTCCCCCAGCGCCGCTCCCCAGGCCCGCCGGTGGCCCAGCCAGGTCTCCCTCCCTCGCAGAGTCCTCACCGTAGGCCTCCTCCCCAGCCGGCTTTCCCCCCCATGTTCAGTGTCTCCGGAGTGAGGAGTGATTGGAGCCGGGAGACCTGGCAACTCACCTGCCGCTGCCCCGCCCTCCCACGTCACAGCCCCACCTCCGCCTGTGGTCCCCGACACACTCTAGTTCCTCCTCAAAGTGCAAAGGGAGGAGGGCGAGGCGGGAAGGCCCAGCCAGGGCCAGGGCCAGGGCCAGGGCCCGTGACCCGAGGGACCTGGAATGCTCCAAGAATCCCTGTAACCCTGCAAACCACCTCCACCCATGCCCTCCAGCCAAGGCGGTCATTTGCCTTTTAGGCCTTGACTAGCCCCTGCCCTCAGGGTCCTCCCCTCCCTCCCCACCCCTCCCCTCCCCGGGGCAGCTGTGCACAACAGTCCGGCCGCTTCCTCCTGGCTCTGCCCTTGGACCTACATTCCCTGTGTGCTCTGTGCTTCCTCCCCACAGCCCCCACCCCCCCAAACCCAAATGTTGTTACCAAACCCAACATTTATTGAGAACCAAGACACCAGCTGGCACAGAGGCCCATTTCAGTTCATCAAACATCAGCTGAGGATGGGGGCGGGGCGGCCAGCCCTGAAGTCCCTCCCAGGGAGGAACCAGCCCTGGGCGAGGGGCTGTCAGACCTCCAGGGCCTGGCTGGGGTCTCTGGCCGGAATGTGTGAAGGGCAAGTGGGAGAGATGGCAGTGCCCCCAGCGTGGTGTGGATGTGAGCAGCAAGTGAGAGGCAGCTGCTGAGCTGGTGGCATTGGGGGGGGGGTATGGTCCACTCTCAGGGGTTGACAGGGGGCAGGGAGCCCAGCTCAGGCAGCAGCTCGGGGTGGGGGTCCAGGCGGGCCAGGCGGCTCTGCTCTAGGGCAATGGCCTCGGCCGAGTGTTTGCACTTCTCCGAGCCACACTGGCAGGTGAAATATTTGCTTTTGATGTCCCAGAAGCGGTCGCCATAGTCAAACCTGTCAGAGGAGCACAGGAGGCTTGTGGGACCCAGACCTGACTGCCCAGGCCAGGCCAGAGCCTCCGTGGACCCTGCTCCGGAGGGCCCTGCCCCTCTCCCGACAGGCCGACCCTCGCGTGTTCTGTGGACCCGAGCACCAGCCTGCCTGGAACTGTCTGCATGCAGGAGCCTGAGCCCCACCCATTAACTGAAGCAAAATTCTGTGAGCTCGGGCCTATTTAGCACGCCCTCCAGGGACACTGCTGGGCATGCGTGCAGCTGGGAGTTCTCTTCAGGCTGAGTCCCAGGCCCGCGCCGCCCGCCCCTGGCCCCGCCCAGCCTCACCCCAGCTCCTCCCCGGTGCGGATGTCCCGGGAACTGAAGAAGGCGATGCGTGGAAACCGCAGGTCTTGGTGCAGCATGAAGACCCGGACAGGGATGATGTTGGGGTCACATAGGTGGTTGATGAACCGGCTGATGTTGCCGTAGTAACGGGCATCGATGCAGTACACCTCTCCATCCTGAGGGGAGGGTGGCACTCTTCAGTGCCAGGCCCATGGCCCCCCCCAATGGCCCCAGCCCCCCAGCCCCCAGGTTTCCATGTGCGGCCTGGGAGTAGGGGACAGCGGGACCTCCTGCCCACCTTGTTGTCCAAGTCGAAGAGATAAGAATCATCCTCTCTGACGTCAGCCTCGGCATCGGAGATCAGCTCCCCGACATACCTGCTGGGCAGGGCGAGGGCTTCTGAAGGCAGGCAGGCGGCGAAGCCGGCCCAACCGTGTCTCCTCACAACCCCACGGGCCCCGCTTCACTGTCAGACGCCCCAGTCAGTGTCCGCGAACGTCACTGCTGCACAGTGCTGGCACCCGCGTGGGACCCGCGGCCTAGTGGGCCCAGAGGACAGGGACCTCATCTGGGAGGGGGGGGGTGGCCCCCTCGGGGCAGGACCAGGAGGACGAACATGGGGACACTGGCATGTGAGGTCCCCACTGCAGAGTTGCAACAGGCAAGTGTGGTGGCCGGGGGAGGTGAAGGGATGGACCCAGGGCTCTGGGTTCGGGGGAGCCGGTGGCAGTTGGCTTGGGTGGGACAGTGCTCAGGTTTAGACACTGGGAGGTTTGTGGGCGTGGCAACGGCAGGCTGATGGACAGGCGTCAGGGCTGCAGGAAGGGATGAAGCCGCAGGGGCGGAGGGGTGGGGGGGAGGAAGGTGGCACTTGGAGAATCTGCCAGGGGACCGAGGCCGAGGCACAGGGAGCAGGGTGGGGTGCAGAGGGGTGAGGGCAAAGGCAGGTGCAGGCAGGATGAGCAATGAGCGATGATGGGGAACAGAGGCCCAGGAAGAATGGCTGCTTGCTTGAGGAGTTGAGAGATGACATGACAGAAAAAAGGTTGTGGGTTCGATCCCTGGCCCTGGTCAGGGAGCACGCAGGAGGCAACCAATCAATGTGTCTCCACATCAGTGTTTCTTCTCTCTTTCTCCCCTCCCTCCCTCCCTTCCACTCTAAAAACCAATGGAGCCCTAACCAGTTTGGCTCAGTGGATAGAGCATCGGCCTGCGGACTCAAGGGTCCCAGGTTCGATTCTGGTCAAGGGCATGTACCTTGGTTGCGGGCACATCCCCAGTGGGGAGTGTGCAAGAGGCAGCTGATCAATGTTTCTCTCTCATCGATGTTTCTAACTCTCTATTCCTCTCCCTTCCTCTCTGTAAAAAATCATAAAATATATTAAAAATAAAAATAAACCCCCGGGGAGGACCCCTGCTGCCCCCCACCCCGGGGAGGACCCCCGCTGCCACCCCCCGGGGAAAAAAATAAAAATAAAATAAAATAAAATAAAAACCAATGGAAAAATATCGTCGGATGAACAACAACCACACAAACGAAAGGCAGGGAGAGGGGATGTAAGGCTGGGAAGTGGGGATGTGGGCAGTGGTGATGGGCAGCCCTGGGGTCTGGGCAGAGTGGGCAGGCGGGGCGCTTGGCTGTGGGATGGGGGCAGAGCAGCTGGAGATGGGCTGGTGAGAAGAGGGGGGGCCTGTCAGGGAGGAGGCAGAGAGGGCAGAAGAGGCAGCAGTGGCTCTGGGCCCACCCCTCGCCCCTGCCCACTCACTCGCAGATGAAGGTTCCTTGGGGGATGGTGTGCAGGGCGCGGACCCCCCAGCCCATCTTGGCTGTTCGGTAGAGCTGCAGTCGAACCCTAGGGGTGGGAGAGAGAGTGATGCTGGGTGCATGGGAGACAGTGTGCGTGTGCGTGTGCGCATGCAGGGCCAGGGCCTCACTTGATGCCGCTCTGCACCACCCGGTTCTTGCAGTTTCTCCAGCAGGAGCAGGCCTGGTTACACTCGAAGATCAGCGGGGGCTCGATCTTGTTAAATTCCTGGAGCAGCCGCCCGTCCTGGGGAGGGGGAGGCGGTGGTTTCTGTGTGGTCCCCCCTCAGCTGCCCAGGTCCCCCAAGACCCCACAGAAAAATCCTCCCTGGCCGCAACCCAGTCAGTGGACACCACATATGCTCCGAGGTCAGAGGACTGGACCCCAAACCCCCCCTTGATCTGCAGGTGTCGGGCCAGGCCCATCTGTCCTAGCAGCATCCCAGGAATTCCAGGTCTGCCCTGCCCTCTCTGCCAGCCGCGCCAGGGCAGGAGGTGAGGGAAAGGCGAGGGTGCGTACCTTGTCATACCAGCAGCGAATGCTGAGCTGGCCGCACAGGCAGTTGGAGCTGGAGCAGTCGTCCACACAGGTGCAGTGCTGGGGGGAGGCAGGGTGAGCTGGGCCCGGAATCAGCCCTGTGCCTGCCCCCACTGCGCCTGCCCCCACTGCTGCCCCTTCTCTAGGGCCCATGTTTTAGAATCAAGATGCTGCTGGAGGATTGTCCCAGGGCCACCCTGAGCCTGACTACCCTGCCTGTGTCCTGGCGAGAGGACGCTTCTCCAGGGGACCGAGCCCAGGAGCTCCTCCGCCCTCACCTGCAGGTGGGTGATGTTGCGGTCAATGTTCATGGTGGAAGTCTCGCAGTTCTCCGAGATGTACTTGTAATCCTCGGGGCACGGCTCCCCGTCCACACCGTTGACGCAGGGAATGGGCACGTTCTCATAGCCCCGAGCCACGTCCCTGGCAAAGGAAGATGAGGTGAGGGCTCCCTGGGTGCAAGGGGAGGGCGTGGGCTGGGGGAGGGAGGGAGGTGCTCTGGGTGTTCGCAGGGGAATGGGGAGTGAAGTTGCCAGATAAAATACAGGGCGTCCAGTTAAATTCAGATTTTAGATAAACAAGAAATAATTGTTTGGTATAGGTACATCCCAAATGCTGCATGGGACACTTTTACATTAAAAAAAAAGTTATCAACTGTTCATCTGATTTTCAAATTTAACTGGCTATTCTCTATTTTTATTTGCTAAATTTGGCAGTCCTAGGAGGGAGACCCGAAGGTGGCTCTTGGGATTCTAAGGGCCCTGGGGAGGGCTAGGGCGCAGGGGGCCTGGGGAGGGCTAGGGCGCAAGGGGCTGGGGAGGGCTAGGGCGCAGGGGCCTGGGGAGGGCTAGGCGCAGGGGCC